GGCAAGCCCTTTCCTTCATACACCACTCGGAAATGAGAATAAAGAGACTTCACCCTGTCTGGCTGCGTGCAGCCGATGCCCATTCCAATGAAAAGCTACCGATCCCGCAGCGCACACGTTTTGGGCAGTGCCTCAGCACCACCCTCCGCGCGAGGGACGTACCCGCGCGCGGCGGCCGCCRCGTCCGTCCCGGCGCCGCTGAGCCGGGCCTGGCGGCGCCGATAGAGCCCGGAGGCCGCCAGCGCCTGCGGCCTCGGCCCGGCCATGGCACCAAGGGCCCTGCCGGGGAACGCACAGGGACGACYGCAGAGAACGGAGGCCACAGTGACACTTCTGTGAGTCACCTTCCTCTGGGGAGTTCCCTTCGCAGCTCACGGAGCTGCTGCGGGATGGACAGCACTGCCAAGCTGACATTCTTCCATRGCATTAAGGACTGGATCCTGTATCCCACCAGCGGTCACCTATTGAAGCAGGCACTGGAGTCTGCATCAGCAGTTTATTCTGTGTTGGACTTGCATCATGTATCTTCATAAATTCCATCACCCAGGAGCTGACATTAAAARAGAAAAAAATCCTTGTCTTCACACCCACTTAAATCAGTAAGTCTCTTTGATCAAAGCAAGAGAGAAACACAGAAAAACAGAAAAACAGACTAGATCTTGACAACAAACACACTAGTTTACTGCAGATCGGTACCTGATCCCGGCAGCTCCAAGCTGGTTCCCTGCATTAAGGACATTGCAAACAACAGAATTATTCCTTCCATGTGGATAAAGCAGGCTCCAAGGAACAAAAGCGCATAGACTGCTGCTCCCCAGACCACTGCGTCCTGCAGAAGTSGCCCGCTGTGGAGGCTGGGAAGCGAGAACACCAACGCGCTCGGCATTCCAGCCTCCAGAGCTTTCCTGCTGGGAACACAACAGGGTTTCAAACAGCAGCTCCCCTTCCTGCTACTGCCCCTTGCCACCCACCCCTGCGAGAGAAAGGGCATCACGTCACACAAATGACTCGGGGTGGAGGAACAAAAAACAAAAAATTGAGAATACAGAAGTCGATTTTTAAGAGAACAAAGAGAAAGGAATGGAGGGAGGGTGATGAACAGCTGAATCAGTATCATCTGATCAGTACTGCCCATGAAAACCAACTCAAGAGTCATTATAAATCAATTATTTTATAGTAAATTACAGAGGCATGTGTATTTTTTTTTTTAAGCAGAGTAGTGAAATACTAAATATTCCACAACTACGGAGGAGAAAAAAGYGAGATCAGTAAACGCGATGATTTCACAACTATCAGGTGAGTATTAACGAGCAGAGATCCTTTCTGCCCTTTAAACAGAAACATGGCAGTTCGTGGGATCCAGCATAACAGGCACAAACAGAGAACCTCAGCGCTTCAAAAGCTTGSAATCTGTGACCACAATATCCACAATTCACCCTGTGTTTTGCTGGCGGTTCTGCCTGGATATTGAGAGCAACCTGAGAGCATCATTTCACCCCACATACAGGAATATGCATTTGCCCTTTATTCCTGTCCACTACGAGGAAAACAAGAACACAGCTGCACGCCAAAACAGGGGGGCTGCTGACCATTTGAACTTTAGATGCTTCAGCTCTGGCCTCCCTCAGTATCAACAAAACAGTTTAAAACAAATATTAGCATTTTACGCCTTTAATAGAAAGCAAAATATCAAATCACCAAGACATTAACCTTAAAAGGTCTACTTCTTAAGACCACTGAGGASCTTAAAATAAGCTAAAAGTTAGAGAATCTCAGAGAATAGCTTTGGATGGAAAAGTAACAAGACTGAAATCACCTTCTCTAACTCAGAYGTAGCTGCTCATAACTCAGGCAGATGAAACACGTTTGCTGCACGTAGCTTCTAGACTGCACCAACAACCTTTCTTCCTATTACTAACTTTTATGCTTCACCTTCCTCATCATCCTTTAAACCATTTATTTGCAAATACTTCATAAAACGGACCTCTCGCAGAGCAGCAGCTCCTCTCCAAAACTAAAAAACCTATCATCAGAAACTGGACTAATACTTCCACRGAAAAGATATTCTTATTTCTTACCTCAAGTGGATTGGGAACAATCAATACGCGTATCTGCAAAAGCAGCTGTTCTTCTTTTGTTGACTGCAGGAAGTACAGAGGCGGATCTAAACCCCAACTAGGCCAAGTCTAGTGATGACAAAGATCTCATACAAAAGCAATGTCCTGAAATGTGCACTTGGGGAACTTTTTTTCCTTATTATCTTTACAGTAACTTCTATAGGTAACATAAAACAAGACAGGCATTCTTTACCAATCAAAACCACGACAGTAAAGTCTGAAAAGTAATTATATTCAACTTTCTTTTACTTTCTAGTTAGGAGATGGGAGAACATTTTTTCTTTACTGGTAGTTCACAGTTTCTCTTTCTGAGGAATGAGTCCATCGCAACCAAAAAGGAAAACAGGACAAAACAGAGTAGGACAAAAAGCTAAAAATATGAAAACGGAAGGTTGGGGGAAAAAGCATCAATGCAAGTGTAGAAGTGATTATTTACTCATAACAAGGAAGTACTGCGTGGCACCAAAAATCACATAAACTATATTTCCCAGTTTTGCTAAGTGCAAAGAGAGTGCTCAGAAGTAAATTATTTTTAATGCATTACTTCTCTGGAGAGCATTCACTTCCAAATATAGTAAAGCAACATTAGGTTTAATAAAATATACGTAGGGGAATATTTCTCTAACTTCTTTCTCTTCTATTAATTACGGATAATATTTGGAACAGGTATGATCAAATAGATGATTTTTTAAAATGTTAATAGCATTCCTTTAAACTATAGACTATTGTTGAAAACTAGGGACTGTAATAGCTAATTTACAGTCAAGGCAAAGAGAAATAAAATAGCTCAGTCAAGGTATAGCAGTGAGAATTATTTGCAAATTCYAGTATATCTGCTTACCTCTTTCCCGGAAAGAAACACGGTCTTCACATTGCAACAGTGTAAACTCAGTGTGATACGTTTAGTATTTAGATTTCATTTGCCAAAGTCACCTCTCTTAACAATTTCACACTATGAATTAACAATTTTACACATCTTTCTTTGCATTTTCTGGAATTATGTTTCCCCTAATGCTAAATTTAAGTAAGTAAAACTACTGCAGCTATTTAAGTTTAGGAGATACTCTCTGTAATTGCAAGGGACAGGACACTTGAAAAGGATTTTCCATCTTAATTACTATTAGGAATTATGAGTAGGGATGCCTTAGTAGTGAGTCCTTTTGTGTTCTCATTTGACCAGAGAAGTGAAAAAGAACGACAYGTCAGTAGAGTACATTCCCCAATCTTCCTCCTCTTAATGCTGCAAAATCAGTCATTTCCCGTGTGAAGAATTTCAACCCTAGAGGCCCATATATGCACATACGGCCCATGCTCTTTTTGAAGCCCAGAACTCCTGATTCTTATATAATGCTGCCAAACATTACCCAATATTTGGTCACAATTCACTGCAGTGGCCTATATGAAGGTCTAAGGAAGGATGTTCTCCACAGTAAATTCTTTGTAATGACTTAAGACTCAGCCCTATCATGAAAACGATACTAAACATGGTGCTTGTCAAGCGGTATTAGTCTGGCGAGGGGCTGAGCAATGCCAGTGTTTCATAAAGAGTGAAAAACAGGCAGAGATTTTGCTTTGCTGGCAAACAGCTATCCTAAATGGATTACACTATTACTGAAGAAATAGCCAGTTGTGTTATAACTTTGATAAATCTTTTGTCTCTGATGGTCCCCAGGACAGAACGATTAGCAGCAGACACAAATCTAGAAAGGTCCATAGGTTTCTTTGATACCACAGGTATCAAAGCTCTTTACTCAGCACAGGGCTCCCCCTTCAGAGGCAGGTTTCTGAGGAAGCACAGGAAAGGGGAAGACGAGGATTAAAGGGGGACACAAGGATTACTGCCCTCAATAACCTCCCGCTCTTGGTAGCCAAGTGACTTCACTCAGGATAAAATACTTCATGCTAAACAACACTACACACTGCAGCTATAGGAACAGGACTCTCTGGGTTCATGGAGGAAAGAACTGCCCCCTCACCTCCAGCTGCCTGTGCCCACGGAGGGCTGTGCTGGTTCCCAGCGGCTCTGACCAGTTACAACAGTTATAACAGTGTAGTTATAAGGAAAGTGGTGCACTGTGGTAAGCAAACACCTACCTCCTCATCCTCACAGCTGGCRTGATGAATTGTCATCGGAGACAGCAGAAATCACCCACCCAAGCACGTATACATCACATRCACGTACAGCATAGGTACATACATACCTACAGCATAGGTAGGCAGGTAACAATTATCTGGCACACTATCGTGCCTAACACCCCACAAAACGCATTGAACACTGCAGGACAGTAAGAGGCGGCATCATCCAAGTCTTGAGACTTTATACAGAAAAAAAAAAATGTTTATAAAGCTCTCTGAATCTGTGTTACTACTCACGAAGAAAAATGTTTTACGGTATATTTTAAGGATAAAGATAGTGGYGTCCAGGAGGAAGAGCAGCCTAGGAAAGGCATCCTATTAATTTTCCTATTACTTTGTCACCATTTTCTTCAGGGTGTTTTATACAAACAAGCTGACTCGCACAAGCGGCTTCAAAACGGCCGTGTTGTTTCTACACCGAGCAACAAGCGCCAGAGACCAAGGTTGAGGCCCTCAGAAGAGGCCGGCGAACCCCCTCCTCCCGGCCGCGTTTTCCCTTCGCGTCGCGGAGGCGGCTCTGCGGAGCGCCCCGCGGCAGCGCAGCGGCAGAGGCCGGGCCCGAGGCCGGGCCC